AGTTTTAGTAGAGACGGGGTTTCACCATGTTGACCAGGATGGTCTCGATCTCTTGACCTCCTGATCCACCCGCCTCGGCCTCCCAAAGTGCTGGGATTACAGGCGTGAGCCACCGCGCCCGGCCCAGAATAACACTTTTTGAGTAATATTTGATTTCTTACAGCTTTCATTTTTTCAATCCAAATTTTTAGTGTATAAAGTAAAAAAATTAAAATAATGGACTGGAGAACTAGACGAAGTTACTTTTGTCAACAACAACCAAAAAAATCCTACCTATAAACACATGGAGGTATCTCTGTCCCATAACCTCTACAATAGTTAATTAGGCCTTGTATGCTAACTACATAGCCAAGTTTTTAGAATTAGAAACTTGATTTAGAACTCTAGCAAGAGAAGTGTTTTTCATTTTAATAGCAACATCAAATTTCTGTTAATTCCTGTTTCTACCAAATTTTCTACTGAGAAACAACTCTCTTATCTCCCTCTTTTGTTCAACCCTTTCATGAGCTTCATGAATTATAATCTTTGAGAACACCTGAGTCACAAGAATACAATAAAAATGAGGATGCATATTATTCTTCTCTAGGTCTTTCACCAATGTATCAGAGCCTAAGGTGGTACTGAGGCAGCCAGTTCCACTCAGGGAATATGGACAAGTCACTTTAAAACAAAGCCTCCTCTCCAAATTGTACTCAAATACTGCTATTCTCAAAATCCCCTTCCATAAGTCAGGAGGAAAAAAATAAGCCCACTGTAATTCCCAACACTGCCATTCTATGGTCCTGCCTTTTCTGAAACTTCCATTAATACTTAAATTGTATTAGCAAAATTTACAACCTTAGCCTAGGTGGTCTCTGACATGATTTCATATAGTGCATGCTATCTTCCCAATATCCACCCCTTCCCCCAGTACTACCCACCCTCTCCCTCCCATACAAACAAGAAACCAAATCAACTTTCATAGATTTAGGTGCTATTTTAAAAACATCAAAATTTTACTTTACCCATTCTCTCCGATGCTCCCTGTATTTTTTTAAGCTGTGAGTGGATGACCATGCTATGTGATCAACAACTGTGAAGGCTAAGCAAAAGTGAACTGAGTTTAGTATTGTAATTTCAAAAGAACCTTAAAGTTTGTAATATTTGACATATTTAATGGTATGCAGAATCCTATTTTACTGTACATTATCAGGCATTAACGGCAAGCAATTGACAAAAAACAATCAGTATTTTTTTGTACAGAATTAGCTTAGAGCTTAGCTTAGGGAAAACAAAGAGGGAAGAGAAAACGTCAACAGCATACAAAGCAATGGAGGCACCCCCATGTCTATAAATGGGGGCAGCGGAAGGGAAGCCCTCCCACATTTTCTAGTGTGGCAACCAAAGCCCTTCTCACAAGTACACTAGTTGAGGGTCACACGTCACAGTGGGCTTGAGACAGGACACTTCCCTTCTCTCTGACATAAGATCCATAACCCTTTAGTGAAAGGAAAGCTACAGGTAGAAAGGTATAGAATCAAAAGTTTAAAGCTTATTTCCCTGACCCCTTGAATCCCCAAATGCAGAGAAACGTTCCTCTCTCCATTTCTTCCAAAATAAGCTGCGAGTTCACATAATCATGTGGGAACTGTATAAGGATCTATGGCCAATTTCTAGTCTAGGCCAGGGCAGGAAGAGATCTAAAGCAGTATACAAGTAAAACCCTGTGTTGCAGGGTGTGGTGACTCATGCCTGGAATCCCAGCACTTTGAGAGGCCGAGGCAGGCGAATCACTTGAGGTCAGGAGTTCAAGATCAGCCTGACCAATATGGTGAAACCCTGTCTCTACTAAAAATCCAAAAATTAGCTGGGCATGGTGGCACAAATCTGTAATCCCAGCTACTCGGAAAGCTGTGGTAGTAGAATCACCTGAAGTTGGAGGTTGCAGTGAGCCAAGATGGTGCCACTGCACTCCAGCCTGGCCCACAGAGCCAGACTCTGTCTCAAAAGAAAAAAAAAAAAAGAAAGAAAGAAAAGAAATACCTTGTGTCTTTATGTGGAACCAAAGTAAAAGTGATTACTACTGCTGCACAGTAACTATTATACTAATCTGATCCTTTTTACATCTTCCTCAAACTTCTAACACACTCTTACCAACTTCTCCCACCTACCTTTGTTGTTCCTCTAGAATTCAGCTTAAAGCCCACCTACACAAATCCTTTTGTAGTTAACCTTTTAAAAAAACATTACTCCCTTACTCCATATGCTCTTGTTAATATATACACTCAGTTTAACCCACTGTATATTTAAACAGTTCAAAGTATAGGGTTCACTTTACAAACAGACTCATCACCTATGTCTTAACATAATTATATAGACGCTATGAAAACATTTTATATGTCTTGATATGCTAACCTTTTCAGGCATGTGTTTATTACATAAGGAAAGGAAAGAAACAGTACTATGCCAAAGATGGCAACAGGAAAAAACAGTTACAACAGTCTGCCTTCCAAATGTGACATCAAGTCATTTCCAATAAAACAAAGCAGCTTTCCTTTCCTCCAGAAAATGCACCCACAAGGGTGCTATACAGCTCAGAAAAGTTATTCTTCTTAATCTTCTGGTTCATATGGTCCTGTAAGTTTATAATCAGAAATAGGTACTAGTATCACCCCCCAAAATAACTCCCATGACAAGCCGAACATTTAAAATGCAATGCCCATTGTAGAAGAAATTTCCAGAATTCCATCATTAATCAAAGGTTACTGTTTTTTAAATGTTAAAAATCTGGCCCACGTGTCTGTGAAAATCCGTATCACACAATTATAAAGAATGAGACTGGGAAAAGCTTGTAGGATCTTTGAAGCTAATCAGAATGGTGATGATGGAAATGTAAGAAAAGGAATACTAAAGAATCTGCATTCCAAGGGCTCTATTCCATGCCCTGCCTATCCTCTCTCATTAATATAAACAAAGGGTCTTGGCAGCTGGCAGTGATCGACGCCATCCTGTTTTGGGGCATACCTGCTTTAGGAAATCAGCATATTTCTCCTCTTAAGAGACATTAGAAAAGCTTGAATAGTAACTTTAAAATTAAGTCCTAGAGTGGGTTACATAGAATTTAATATACATGGCATAAAAAGTTGCAGCCTGCTAAATTTTATATTTTGATACTTACTTGCAGAGCTGCAATTCTGATACAGTAACACTTGCATTTTGGATAGCTGGTGCCTTCTATCATCCAGAACTTTCCATATACAAAACTAGAAGTAATCAAAGCTATCTTTGGCTACGAAGCAATAGCTGAAAAGAATCAAAGAAAAAGTGATTGGCTGATTTATCTATTAAAAAAGACAAGTTCTCATCAGCTGGTGATAGCTACAGAAGCTAACTGGAGCCTCCCCAAATCTAAAACAAAGAAAGAAATAAAAAAGGGAAAAGAAATAAGAATATCAAAAGACAGAGGTGACAGACAACCCAATGATAAAGGAAGAAGTTAAAATGAAAACAAGATTGCCATGAAGGAGACGTGAGCCTTAGAACTATTTAAACAACACGGCAGGAATACTGTGTCACAGTGAATATACAACAAATTCACAAAAAGCGCTTCCTCTGGGGAAAGGGCTGAGACCATGAAGGGGACCATAAAAGACTTTGTGAGGCTTTACACACTTTTTAAAATTTGACAGAAATATACAAAATAACACTTATTCCATCATATAGGTGCTTGACTGTCCTTTATACTTTTTAAAACACTTTTTTCAAATGCAGACACCTATCATCGGTATCACAGAACTTAAACATTCATGTGTAATTCTTCATTCCCATTAGATTTTTAATGAAAAGATGACAGAAGCAAATTATGTCCATAATCTCTAAGATAAGGAAATAGAGAAATAACTAAAGCAACTCAGCAACCTGGGGATACAATGGAAAGTAAGATTCTATTGCTATAAATAATTACTAGACCCTAAAGCGCATCAACCAACAAATATATAGAACACCATGTGCAGAGAAGTATTCCCTCTAACACAATGGAGTAAATTAAATTATAACAGGAATTTTTCAAAATATTCATACATGGTATCCAGACTCAGGTCAATCAACTGCTTAGTCCTAGCAACATGCTCTGCTGCTCTGCTCCCTTCTATAATGCAGACTCACAGCCACTTCCCCTAGCATTTCTATCAGGCTTCTCTTTGATAAGCAGCTTTTCCCACAGCCAGGAACCTTTCACATTCCCATTATGGAACCAATTGGTAAAATCCTGCAGAATCATCTACCCCCATGGACCAAAGCACTAAAGGAGAGGTGAGAAATTGAGCTAAATGAGGTAATTTCACCCTGGAGATCTAGATGGACCTCTCTAGGAATCTCCTAGATCTCGCTGTCTCACAGGCTTGTATTTCTGTCCAGTCATTTCTGCTTACTGGCTTGGGTATATACAGTTCAATCAGCTTTCCTTTAACATGAATACTCCCTGGAACAGTAATTTCCAAAGTATGAGATTTGCACAAAAAGATGACTTTAGGGGTTATATGATTTCGTCAACATGACATTTTAAATACCACTCAGTAAGAAAGTTATTAATCATGATTAAGAAAAAAAGTTGCCGGGCGCGGTGGCTCAAGCCTGTAATCCCAGCACT